GGGGGTTGGTCTCTTCTCCCAGGCAACAGCAGCAGGACAAGAGGGCACAGACTCAAGCTCTGCCAGGGGAGGTTTAGGTTGGATATTAGGAAGAGATTTTTTTTATAGAGAGAGTGGTCAAGCATTGGAATGTGCTGCCCGGGGAGGTGGTGGATTCACCATCCCTGGAGGTTTTCAAGATGAGATTGGATGTGGCACTTAGTGTCATGGTCTAGTAACCACGGTAGGGTTGGACTCGATGATCTTTGAGGTCTCTTCCAACCAGGCTGATTCTATGATTCTGTGATCATGGGGGGAACAGAAAGACTTGTGTAAAAGATCTTAGTGAATGGTATCTTGGGATTTTTTTGGCAATAATGTAAAAATGGAATTACCCTGTTTTGTCTTTCAAGACTTCCACTGAAGATATGGAGACCAGTGAAGCTACTGAAATAATAGAGGGAACAAGACATGAGGTAAAGCAACCACAGAAACTTATTTTGGGGACTTGTGTAGATGAAATGAATCACTTTTAGGGGCTGAAAGTCATGCTAAGGAAACCCAACTTCAAATCATTAATTTCCCTGCCTCCAGGAGAGCTGGAGAGGGACTTTATACAAGGGCAGTGCAGTGACAGGACAAGGGGGAATGGCCTCAAGCTGAATGAGGGAAGATTTAGATTGGATATTAGGAGGAAACTGTTCCCTGTGAGGGTGGTGAGGCACTGGCACAGGTTGCCCAGAGATGCTGTGGCTGCTCCATCCCATGAAAGTCCAAGGCTAGGGGCTTGGATGAACGGGGCTTGGAGCAACCTGTGCTAGTGGAAGGTGTCCCTTCCCAGGGCAGGGGGTTGGGACTAGATGATCTCCGAGGTCTATTCCAACCCTTAACATACTAGGATACTCTGAAACTCTGCAACACCCCAAGAATCAGCACGGCCTCCTCTCCCCATGCAGGTGGACAGCCACATTATGAAGGTGGTGCAGCAGATAGTGAACCAGGCGAGCTCTGGGCACCAGATCATTGTGCAGAACGTCACTGTGGCCGAGGGCAGTGCTGACAGCGCCGACACCATCACCATCGCTACCCCCGAGAGCCTGACTGAGCAGGTGGCCATGACATTGGCCTCAGCCATTGGGGATGGCACTGTGCTGGCCACTGGCACCAGTGGGGAGCAGGGGGAGGCCACGGTCACCATGGTGGCATCTGAGGACATTGAGATCATGGAGCATGCAGGGGAGTTCGTCATCGCCACACAGGATGGAGAGGTGGAGGTCCAGAAGGGATGGAGGGGCTGGGCCTCAGACTGGATCTCGGGCTGGATTGCAGACTGGGTTCCTCCAGCTGGGGATTGGATCAGTCCTGAGGTTACCACTGTACTGTGCAGAGAGCAAGGAGGGAGTGGTCTGGAGGGAAATGGCCTAACAGGATAGTTCAGGCCCACAACAGGATAGTGCAGGCCTGAGGTGCTCTGGAAATACCAGGAGTGAACCCTCTGCATGGTCATACTGTGAAGGGACTGACAGGCCACCTGTGATGCTCGGTCTCCTGTCCAGCAGCCTCAAATCAAGACAGATCCTGTGTAAATCAGTTCCCTTGGAACAGCAGTGTCAAGTATTCAGGAAATGAAATGAATAATTAGGGTCTCATCAGAGACTATTTAATCATATGCATTAAAAACAAGTGGAGAAAACCAAACAAAGAGCTGTGGGGTGTGTTCAACACCACTCAGACACTGATGCCTTTAATCTCCCTCCCTTAGGCCTCCCAAGGCCTGGTACTGCAGTATTGCTCTTACTGGACAAGTAGCCTTATGGATTGGTCTGTGAATGCAACCTTGGACCCTGCACTGCCAGCCAGGCTGCTCTGGGAGCCAGTCTGGGGGCTGCAAAGCCATATTGTATAGGAATTTGGGGGTTTTTAACCATATATGGATTTTTAATGGCATATTGTACAGACTGGGCATGTAAATAAGGACATTTTTAAAAATAAAGTTATTTAAAGTTCTTACTACGTCTTTTCCAGTTTCTGCTCTGTTCTCAGACAGAAGAGTTTCTGGAAGGAGGAGGGAAGTGGAGGACTGTGGCACTGCTGTGCACAGGCTGCAAGTAAGCAGCCCTGGAAATTCAACTGCCCCAAAATACAGAGAAATGCTTAAACTCGTGGCTGAGCCTCACTGTGAAGAGATAAATCAAACAGTGGAACAAGGAGGGGAAATGCCAGAAAGATTAATTCTGGAATCTATGTCCAGAGCTCAGTATCACATCCCTGACCCTTCTCAAGAATTCTGTCCAGAATTCCCCATTTCCATGACTCTTCAGGCTGAAACAGCAACTTAGTGTGAAGGAGCTGAGCAGGGATCAAGGAAGAGATAGGCAAGGAGAAGCAGCACTTCAGTACTTCCCTCCTGAAGTTAAGGAGCTTCACACCAGCACAGATCAGATTCTGCCAATAATTGTTTTTTCCAGCTAGATACACACAACCTGTTCTACTTAGTGTTCACAGTGAAGGGTTAATCATTTGCCAGAGATACTCACAAGATTCAGCTTCCTCCAAATTCAGTTGTGTTAGCCCTTCCCAGGGAGAGATTCACTTCAAGATGGACCAAACTCCATCCCAGGAAATTCCCTACTGATCTCTCTAACTAGAACCTCAGGGTGTCTGAGGGATCTTAAATAGTGCTCTGCTGACTGCACAATTTGGATTGATGGTGCCTAACCTTGTTCCAAAAGCAGTTTGGGGCATCCAAGCTTATTGCTGAACTGTGTCTTAAAAACATCCAAAAATCCTCAGATAAACAAAAATATCTTCATGTTCTTTTCTTCCTTTCCAACAGTGTTGGAGGCTTAAAGATTTCTTTTAAATTCCTCCAGATTCCTTTGGAATAGATGTTTCTGTAGCTGGGAGGCTGTGATGGGAGGTGCTGGGAGCCCCCAAACTTCCTGGATTTACACCACTCATTGGTGGTTTGGTTGGTGAAGGCTAAGTAGAGGCTGAAACAGGAGTATCCACCCAGGATGAGTGTGAGCAGGATGACAAAACCCAGCATGAAGACAATCCTGGGGAAAGTCAGGAACAGGTGCTGCAAGGAGAAAGATAAATTAGTTAAAAAAAGGGAGGATGAAATCACTGTAAAAGTCCAGCTGGAATGTACATCCATGTGCACATGTGGTGGAGCCCAGGAACAAGTGCCCAGCCCTGACCTCCACCCAGCTCAACGATGGTTCATCGCTCAAGCTGCACTAGAGGAGGTTTAGGTTGGATATTAGTGGAAAATTCTGCACAGAAAGGGCTGTCCAGGCCTTCATTTTCTATGAACCAGAATTAATTCTCTATGAACCACGCTTTGGTTCATAGAGAATGAACCAGAGGTGCTGAGTGACACATCCTGGAGACAGAAATCTGAGGAACTGGAGAGTGGAAGGAAGTGCTGGGAGAAAAGTGTCATGTTTTTAAAGTCTGCTGCAGTGGTAGTTTTCTACTCTTAATTAGCTGTGCAAAATCAGCTGTTAATCAGCTGCATTAGCTGCTGCTAAAACCAGCAGCCTGTCCCATCCTGGGGGAACAGGACAAGATAACTGACAGCAAAGTGACCTTATTGCTGTCTACAACTACCTAAAAGGTTGTAGCCACGTGGGGGTCAGGCTCTGCTCCCAGGGAACAGGGACAGGACAAGAGGAGATAGTCTCAAGCTGCACCAGGGGAGGTTTAGGTTGGACTTTAGGAAGAATTTCTTCCAGAAAGGGTGATTAGACACAATGGAATGTGCTGCCCAGGATGGTGGTGGAGTCACCATCCCTGGAGGTGTTTTAAGTACAGACTGGACATGGCTCTCAGTGCTCTGAACTAGTTGACACGATGGTGTTAGGTCACAGGTTGGACTTGGTGATCTCAGAGGTCTTTTCCAACATCAATGACTCCGTGAAAGAGTGAGCCAAACCTTCCTCAGCACAAACTCACCTGCACGAGGAAGAGGAGCCCCACGGGGTGCTCGTGGCCTTGGGCATCGAGGTAGGTGCTGTGCAGCATGTCAGAGAGCAGCACCAGGTGCGTGAGCAGTGCAGCAGTGGTGGCACTGAGGGCTGTGGCCGTGGCAGTGAGGGACAGCAGCAGCAGCAGGAAGTACCTGGCGTTGCAGGCACCGATGCAGTTGTTGACCCACACGCAGTGGTGGTCAAAGCGATGCACACAGGTCCCACATACCCCTGGGAACAGGCAGGGACACAACAAGGGGCTGGTCACTGGCCTTGCAAGTAATTGGATTTTTAGACAGTTTAGCAGAGATTAGAATCTGGAAAATTCTGAGAATTGTGGTCAGGATTTAGCTTTTGAGGCAAGTATATTGATTTTAATTGCATATAATAAACCCCAATACTAAACCCAAAGACATCATATAGCTCATTTCCTCCTCTGTTTAGCCTGACTGCACCTCCAGGGCTTGGGCTGAAAGGTAGAGATTGGAGCTCCAACCTTTACTTTAGATGACAACAGCAAAGAGAATTTGCTCAGAAAGAGGCTGTGGCTGCTCCATCCCTGGGAGTGTTCTAGGCCAGGTTGGATGCAACCTGGGCTGGTGAAAGGTGTCCCTGCCCATGGCAGAGGGTGCAATGAGACAAGCTTTAAAGCCCTTCCAACCCAAACCATCCTGTGATTCGATGATTTTGTGAAATGCAAACCCCTAAACTCAGGTGCTGACAGGTGGTAATTTCTCACTTAACTCCCAGCTGCTCACCAGTTTGGCTGTTCCTGACCCTGATTTATCCCCTCAGCACTGCTCATTTCTGTGAGAAGAAACAGCAACCAACCAGATCCACATACTGGCAAAAGGAGCTATGACCTGGGACCTCAGGAGGGGAAACACAGCCCTGTGTGCTCTGAGCTGGTAACACAACAGCTGCAGTGTGAAGAATTCCTTTGGGGAAGGATTACTGATGTGCTTATCAAGGAGGCTGAGGTTCTTACTGCAGTGCTTGGACCTGGCTGGCTTCTCCAGGCAGCAGGTGGGACACACAGTGCCTCTCTGAAACATCACTCCATCATAGGCATAAACCTTCACCAGTGCTGCCTGGTTTGATTTTGTGATCACACCTGGGAAAGAAGCAGGGAAAACAGTAAAATTATTATATTTATAGCATTTTTAAAGTGGTTTACAAACAGCTGAAACAGGAACTTACCAGGGTCGGCCCAGGAGCAGAGCAGCAAGCAGCACACATTCCCAGCCAGCAGCAGGTAGGGCAGGAGGAGGAGGAGGAGGTGGAACTGCTGCTCCCAGCAGTACATAAACACCTCCCAGGTGTATTCCCCAAACACTGCAGCCTGCAGGGCTAACTGCAGGGTCACGAACCAACAGCTCCTGGGGCAGCAAGGGAGAGTCTCTTTAGTACTCTGCAGCTGATGAACAGGTCAAGTACACTCAGAGGTGATCAAAGGCTTTGCAAAGGCAAAGAGACAACTCAGGCCAGCATGGATTGCATATGAATAGTGTTTTCTCCACCCAGTGGCTTCTCCTTCTCTTCTTCCCCCAAACACTCCTGTAAATCTGCCACTTAGATTCACTGCATTATGTCCTTTGGCTATTTTTCACGAAGTCTCATCACTTTGCTGCTGACAAAACATGCCCCAGTGATAGGCCACAGAACATTCTGCCAGGAGACATTTGCTGCTCTGAAAGTAAAGAAAAGCCCAGAAAATCTTCTTTAAAACACTGAAATATCAGCAGCTGTTACAAAACAAGTGTGGCAGGAGATGGGCAACAGTGAACACCAGTTCCAGTGCACATGGAGGGTCCCAGTGCCCCCAGCGACAGTGTCACCTCTGTCTCAGGTTCTGTTACAGCAGAAAAGCTGCAAAATAGGCAGCAAGGCCACCCCAGCACTCACCCCACAGCTCTATGTGTTAGCCCTGAGGTGTTCCTCACCCTGGAAACACCAGGGAAAGGTGTTTAAACTGTTCCTGGAGCACCAGAGACAGCACAGAATTCCCCTGACGCCAGCAGGCTGCACCTGGCAGCTGTGCAGCTTCCCCTGGAGCCACCTGCACTGCCAGGCTGCTGGGCTGAGCTAATGGCATTGGAGGGAGAGGGTGGGAATCTGTCTGAGTCCCTGTGCAGCTGCCAGAGAGGCTCTGGGAATTCCTTAGGAGGTCCAGAATCCCACCAGTGTGCCCAACATCTGCTGCACTGGGAGATGCTGAGCACATCGTGTGTCAATGTGTGCAAGTATCTCAGGTCTCACCTCCTAAACCATGAGCAAGGGAGAGACAAGAGCACGGCAAAGCCTAAAGGGAATGTGTAATCCCAGACAGCTATCCCTAAAGGAGAGAGGATATCTAAGGATAGTACTGAGTGCTCTGGTGGTGGTAGGAGAAGCCAACAAGAACCAGAAAGATTAGTAAAAACAATGTGAAAGGCATAAAGTGCAGTACCTGGTGTGGAAGAGGCTGTGCAGGGCCCTGTGTGTCACCCTCTGGAGCTGGTTGGGGACGACCAGTGACAGCACCTGAGGGCAGTGAGAACACTGTGTCACCTCAGCTGTACATCCCTCCTGCCTCACATTCCAATCCCTAACCCCTCCGGTCTGTACTAGTACAGCCACAGCACCAGGGGCATTTGAGCTTCTAGTCACAGAACCAAGGTTGGAAAAAACCACCAAGATCATCAAGTCTAACCATAACACGTGGAATCACAGAAGCTGCTTCAGGACAGACTGGAGGTGGCACTTAGTGCCATGGTCTGGTTGCCACATTGGTATCAGGTCATAGGTTGGACTTGATGATCTCAGAGATCTTTCCTACCCTGACTGATTCTCTGATTTTGTGAATCACTGAGGTTGGAAAGACCTGCAAGACCATCAATCCAACCTGTGACCCATCAGCACCTTGGCAACTAGAGCAGAGCACTGAGTGCCATGTCCAGTCATACCATGAACACCTCCAGGGATGGATACTCCACTGGACAGCTCCAATGCCTGACAGCCCTTTCCACGAAGAAGGAAGGACAGAACAGACATGCTGCTCGGACTCCACACTGGAATGAGGTTCCCTGTTCCTGGGATCCCAAGAGGCACCAGCACGTGTGTGGATTAAGGTGTGAAAGGGGTAAGGAGCTTAGGGGGGTTGTGCTGGGCACTGGTTCATTAGGGAGAGCACTGAGGACAATATGCTCCAGCTGACAGGTGCCAGTGGAGATAATCACAGGATAAAGCCTGGTGGCCTCCAGAAAAAGGGGAAAACCCCCAATGCAACCAAACCTTCCAAAATCCACCTCCAGCCTGGTAATTCTGTGTCTAATTGTCCTTTCCAGCACAGCCTGATGTGCTGAAGGAGGAGGAATCTGCCTGTGCTCACTGAGTGATCCCTCAGCCACAGCTTGTGGGGCTGACACATCTCTATAGCAACACACAGCTCAGTGCTGGAGCAATTAGAGCAGCTGAGCCTATTTCTAGCTGACAGGCCAAGAAAATATGCAGTGAGAGCTTCTTGCCTGAGATGTGAAAGACCAGGAGGCAAAAAGCATATGTGCAGCTGAGAGGATGCTAAATATTTCTGTGTTCCTGGAATGTGTTGTCTCAGCAGTTCACGGGCTGCAAAAAGAGACTTTTCCAAGGCTGCTGCCACAGGAAACTCATAACTCAACAACAAAGCAACCTGCAGGCAGCCCTAGCACACTTCCAGGCTTATACAGTGCTAGTTACAGCCAGAAATGATTTAAAATACTGTCTAAAGAAATTATTTAATCATGGAGTAACCTGAGTTGGAAGGATGATCCACAAGGATCATCAGTCCAACCCCTGCCCCACACAGGACACCCCAGCAATCCACTCCGTGCCTGACAGCATTGGCCAAACAGGCTGAAATAGCAAATATGTAGGATTATCACCCTGACCACACACACTGGCATCTTCTAGAGGGGAGAAATACAGCAATTACACTGATTTTAGGACAACCAAGTAGGGCAGACCACCAGGACGGGAGATGTTCATTGCTCTGGGAGCTCAGTCCATATGTGGCAGCCCAGTTCTTCACCTAGCAGCTCAGTTCCTCACCTCGCAGCCCAGTTCCTTACCTGATTTGCTCTGTGGACACTTCTCATGAGGAAACTCTCCTCCCTCCCTGAGCAGAGGCAGAGCAGAGCAGTCACAGCCAGCACAAAGCACAGGTAAGCCAAGAAGAGTGTCAAGAAGTCCATCCTGAGCCCTGGGATGGAGCAGAAGCAGCTGTGAGTGTCCCTGGGTGCCACAACCCTGTCCCAGGGCTTGGGCTCCCCTATGCAACGGAGGTACCGGAGCAACGGAGCAGCTTCGAGCCCAGGGGGGGACCCCAGACCCTCCCACCAGTGCACTCCAGGCCCCTCCATCAGGACATGGCACTGAGGTCGATGTTTCGCGTATTTCTCTGCCAAGACAGAATCACAGAATCCTTTAGGTTGGAAAAGACTTTCAAGATCATCCAATCCAACCTGTGACCCATCGCCACCTTGGCAACCAGACCAGAGCACTGAGTGCCATGTCCAGTTGTTCCCTGAACACCTCCAGGGATGGTGACTCCACCATCTCACTGGGCAGCACATTCCAACCATTTCCATGAAGAAATTCCTCCTGATGTCTAACCTGAACCTCTCCTGGTGAAACTTAAGGCTGTTCCCTCTTGTCCTGTCACGCCCAGCAGCAGCCCCTGACCCCACCTGGTCGCACCTTCTGCCAGGACGTGGCAGAGAGCAGAAGATCCTCCCTGAGCCTCCTTTTCCCTGTGTCAGGGACACATGGGGACAGAGCAGGGGGTGTCCCCGGCCCAGGGGCTCCGGTAGCTGCCAAGCCCAGCGCCTGCGGCAGTGCCTGCGGGACTGGGACAGGGGCACAGGAGGACAGGGGGATAGGGAGGACAGGGAGGACAGAGGGACAGGGAGGACAGAGGGACAGAGGGACAGAGGGACGGGGACACGGGGACAGGAGGACTCCGAGGGGTCACGGCGGGGCCACCGCGCGGCTCTGCCTGTACCACCTTC